CTTTATTTTAGTATGGTACGTTCAATCCTGGATTTTGGCTCTGTTATTTGGAACCCTTATTATGAATGTCATAGTAAACGGATAGAAAAGATTCAAAAATATTTTGTAAAAACGCTTGCATACCGAACTGGATCAAACTTTACCTCATATGAGGACTGCATTAAAAATATAACATTCTCCCACTTAGGTATTATCGACAGCAGTTCGACCAAATGTTTCTGTATAAAATATTAAATAACTTTATTAATTCCCCTAACTTGCTTCAAAAAATTAAATTTCATATTCCCACAAAAAGTGTTCGTCGCACCAACCGGTTATTTGCCATTCCCAGATCTAACAAAAAATATACAGCAAACGCATATTTACAACGAAGTTTGACCGCATATAATACATATATCATTTGCAAATATTAGTGGAAACCAATTTAAGCAAAAGGTATTTAATTGTTTGTTCTCTATAATTTAGGTACATTTTACTTACTGCGAACTATAGCTATTGTGAATATCAAAAGCAATGTCAATTTAGAACTTTGTATTTCATATCATTATATAATCTTAGCGTTCCGTGTAATATTGAAGAAATAACTGTCTAGTAATATTAGCACTTAAATCTTAAGTTAAGTCAAGTCAAGTTAAGTCTAAAAAAAAACTTAAGTTTTTTTTTTGTTCGTCTTAAGTATATTTAGACTTATGTGTTGGCACTCAAGGTCTATAACTTTATTTACTGTAAAGAAAAATTGTATCGATGTACATGACTGTTTATTGTACAAGAATTAAAAAAATAAAAAATTATGTACAGGCAGTCCTCGTACTTACAGCTTGTTAGGTCATCGAAATGCGCGCGCGACGTAAATCAACGGCGCCGGCCAAAAGGACATTGACCTCGCGACAAGTGAATTCTCTCTCCTATACCGGGAATCGAAACAATTGACGTATGCTTGAGGAATAGTGTCAAAACATAGTTTGACGTAACTGGAAAGGACGTAAATCGAAAGAACTCCCTGTACACATCTTCTAGTATCATCGTTGTCTTAATTACACATACAGGGTACTAAAAGTTTCAATAATTAAAAAATTAATGATTATTTGAAAACAATTAAGAACGCAGTTGGGTCTCACTTTGATAATAATTAAAGGGATCTGGGGTATTATTCATATTGATAAAAATATTATAAAAAGGTTTCTAGTTCTGACATAAAAACCAAAGACCAATTTACAATTTGTCACACCAAACCTTAGGAATTGTTAAATGAAACACCACCAAAGAGGTCATCACGTTATGGAAGGAACATCCTATGCAAGATTACATTTCCACTTTTTGCAAACTTGGTTTAGGTTAGGGCACAAGTAAGGTAAGTGGGGTGTAAAAATACGTCACGTCTCACGTCATGCGGTAATAAGTTATGACGGGTTGAAATTTCGCCACCTTAGCTTAAGATTTTGCTTAGACAAACTTAGATGCCAAATCATTTGTGTTTCAACAGATAAAAATAGTTTAAACAATAGGATACTTCAATTACTTAACTAAAGTTATTAATGAATGGGCTCTTTTAGTTAAAAAACTTAGAAGTGCATCTTCGAGAAGAAGTACTGTAAGTACTTGGTAAGTAAGTCACCACCAAGTAAGTACTTGGTGGTGACCGCAGCTTACTTCTTACTTATGTTACTAATAAAAAAGTGATCTATTTAAGTAAATAGAACCCTTTTTATTATGTTACATAAATATTTATTTTTATAAAGTTCATTGAGCCAACTAACTTGTTAGTTGTAGCATGCTAGAAACAAATCTTATAACAAAATTTGACATTGACATTTCGGTTTGCAAACTATTCGAATTCGATAATGGTTCGTGCTAGGGGTACAGTGGTCTAAACAAAGTGCTGCACTAATATTCCTACTAATTGAAGACTTGTTTTTCTAAAAGCCACGATGCTAATCACTTTCACTGCGTGTGTGCCTAGATTAGAAATGTATTTTTGATTACGCAATATACAGCGTCCAAGATAAGATGCAAAGACCGCCAGACCGTATTAATTTTCTCATGGACGAAATATGGTTAATTGACTAGTATTTGTGTGTACAATTGTATAATACATACTTGCTAACTTGCGCAGTGGGCCTATTTTCGGGTATCAGGTGGCACAGGCACGTAAAAGTTTTATTCACTTTACTTACAATCTGCGGACTGATTCCTTCGTATGTTGTAGAGAATATTGTGAACAATTTGAAATTAACACTTCTGCTGAAATTGTTTTTAATGCCAGACACTTCAACTGTCAAAATGAGAAATTAAGTAAGGTCTGGCGGTCTTCGGCTTTTACTCTATAAGATATCGAGACTTACTAAGACCCACTTGGAACAAACTTATGAATTCAAATTAAGGTTTAACCGTGATTAGCACATTCTTGTTTCATGCCGACACTTCACTTAGCTATTCGTATTTGATATTTGTAAACAACACAACAACGACAACAGTCTGTCCTTATCATGCTTTATAAGGAATGAAAAGAATATACTGATGTCAAGTTTACAAATAGCCGAGTAATGTGCTGGCTTAGTAAGTCAAAAAGAGATGAAATGAGGTTTACCCATGATTAACTTTTAAATTTGAATGCAAACTTTGGTGTTACTTTGCTTTTTTTATTTATATAAAAAAAAAACGACTTCGTCTGCGTGGTTTTTTTTTCGTACGAACTTCCATCCCCCCTTTTCTCTCACTTATAGAATGATTTCTAGGATACAAACTGAATCTAAACCCTATGTTCTTCCCCGGGACTCCAACTATCTCTCTACCAAATTTTATCTATTTCAGTTCAGCGGTTTAAGCATGAAGAGGTAACAGACAGACAGACTGATACAATTTCGCATTTATAATATTAGTATGTATAGAAAGAGCAAAACTCGCATGATATTGACAACTAGCACTCCTTTTAAATTACATATTATGAACTCTTAATTATGATAAATCTCACGGGCTGGTCACGGGGATGCGTCGAGCAAAATGCTAACTCATACCTAATTTTCGCACGGTCAATGCGTATCGCACGTCGCATCGCGCGCCGGTCGCGCGTAGCTGTAGCCAGCCCGTCACACTTTTCATTAGCGAAATGTGCTGGTCGCATCGGCCGTGTTGCTCTATGTTCACAATTCACGAACCATCCCTTTGAAAGTACAAGAGTTACCGACCCGTATTAAAAGCCAATTTGAAAATGCGATTTTTAAAGTGTAAATAAATACAAAGCGCAACTTGCACGGTCGCCGAGCAGGTACCCACTTATAATAGGGCTCGATCCAGATTCCAGATATGCCCGCATTGTGCAACTCGAATTGGCAATCAAAGTTGGATACGAGTTTGTTCCAACAATGCCAATGTTTGTACGGGGCCTGTTGTGCGTATACCTTCGGGATAATGTGAAACTAATCTGAAGGTGTAATAAGGCTGTCTAATTTCTGCCGATAATTATTCATTTAGTTTGAATATCATATAAATACTGTTGCATGTAGTGATGAAGTATGAATGGAAATATTGAGAATTGTTATGAAAATTATCACGTTAAAACACTTTGTTGGTGTAATAGGTAAATAATTTTGGATACTAAAGGTACAATTCCGAGACGGGCGGGCGGCAGACTGCAACCGCAGGCGAATGCGGTAGACCGAATGTCGCCGCTTGTCGTGGTTGCTTTCCAAGTACGGCGACATGCCACGACTGCACAATGCACAGCACCAATGCTTCAGTCACACCAGTCCGCGCTGCAGTCGCTGCGCGCCGCGTTCGCAATCAATTTCATAGAGATTCGTAGAAACAAGTGGTGACGCTGCAGTTTGCGGTCTGCAGCCCGTCCCAGAATGGCACCTTAAATAGCTGCCTGTAATATTTGGGAATTCATGAAAAGCCGTTCAGATACTGAACATGATATTTATTACATTGTTGGAATAAGACATATAGCAAGATCCCAGGCCCGCAAAATATGAATAATCGAGTAGTACTAGTGTGTAAAACGAACGATACCTACTCGCTAACTTGTGCTGTGGGGGGCCTACCGCCGAACGGGAGTACTTTAGCTATTGCTATAGCTTATGATTTCATTATGTGATTTCTGACCGCAAAAGGTTTTCAAATACCTAGGACCCTAGACCTTTTCTAGACTTTAGAGCTTTTCTTTCGACCTCTACCGTAAAAATGCGGAAGTCTCATACAAACTTTCGTTCCCTAGTTTATGAGAAGTGTACGAATATACCGAATATCAGATTTCTAGGATATTAAGAAATAGCCTAAGAATTTTGATGAAACTTAATATGTTTAATAAGTCTGCTTTTTACAGCATATTCCGAGAATTTTGTTTATCTGCTATAATCCAAACCCAAGTTATAAGGGTTCAAAAGAACGACGAAGCGCTTCAAGAAAAGGTAGGTAGTGTCTTTCCGCTTCGTCTGACTCAGCTTGACGTCATGGCGGGGGCACTACTGTCCCACCCGATACAAAGGCTCTCGGCGCTACGTTGCCCGATATCAGCGCCGACTGTTGGATAAGACTGTTTTCAGCCTTACATTTAGACAGCTGATACCGAAACCAATTTTGAGTTTGGCGAAAATTATATAGTACGTAACGTATGTAGGTCCGATTGAATTGATCTAAGCCCAGTCAAGAGTTACGGCTACCGGCTGAACGTGGCATAGTGTAGTTTGTCTGGTAATAAAATCAGTACGTGACCTGAACCCTGTCGTGTCGTCCCAAGGATCAATATTAGTCATTTGGGTCCTCCAGGCCTAAGTTAACATATAAATATTTCATTGCATTTGACTTTCGTAGTACCTACTTAGTTTTGTGGCTTTGACCTTAGGGAATTAAATCAAATATTTTACTCGTATTTACAAGAAACTTGGTAAATACAATTTAGAATGAAATTTTTGAAATGTATGAATATCGAATTATGGTAGGTGTTATCTTGTATTACTAGATGACCCAGTGAACTTCATACTGCCATTAAAATAAGGGGCTGGTAGTAGAAGGGTGTAATTTTTTTATGCCATTTAAAATTAAATATAATGTTTAAACACGAAATAAATCATACACGGTCAAATAAATATAATACAATTAAAATAAATAATTTCTTGTCAGTAAATAAATATCTTTATAACCTGAAACCTTGGCCGGGTGGATGATTTTCAAGTTCTTTTTTCTATGTATTTATAAATCAAGAACTTAAATGTTACAAATAAAAAGGTCAATATTAAAATAGACATCTTTATGTCACAATTTGTATTCTGCTTTTATATTAAAGTAAATATGTTTTTGTAGTATTTTAAACATTATTGTAACCATTAATCAATTGACCAATGTTTGCCATGATGCACGAAAGAGATTGTGTTTCATAGAGGTATTTTATTTGAGGATTTTATTGTTGCCTTATAATTTGTACGTCCAAACTCTAGTCTTTTAATTGTTATTAAACGATACTGAGTTTAAAAAAATGTTCACGTCGTCACTTCTTAAATATCTCTTGTGTCGGAGGCGACCTTGTAAGAGTATTGAAAAGAACCCGCGAAAATCCCAATAAAGGTCAAAGTTATTTTGTAATTAATGTAATCTTGACAGTATATAGGTGATTATTAACCCTTCTCAAGGAGACATCTTTTGATGTAAACTTCATACCAATTATTTAAGATTCAGTGTAAATGGCAATCAGATTTTAGTAATTTTGTGGTTACACTTCTGATAGGAATTTATTAAGTATGTAGCCATTTACGCTTTGAGAATATAATGCAAAGATAAAAAATGGAAATTCTACCATTCATGGTAGAATAGGTAGGTAGTTAGTTCACGGACGGTACATTTTTACGAATTTGAATGCATTCAAAACAGGAATTAAATTATATGTTTCATTAAAAACTCGAAGTATAACTACTTAGTTTAAATAGAATAACACAATATTCTTTTTGACAGTAACCATTATAATAGAATAAATGTAAAATAAATGTTTCACTTTAAAAAACGTTTACGGAATCGTAGAGAACTCTGTACATGATTTATGACTTGGTGTACTCTTAACTGGAAGTTTTAATGCATTCTAACTTCTACTTCTTGGCAGGATTACCGGGACAATAACAAGGTTTTGGGCAGACCTTTTTAGACTTATGACCTTTCGTGGGACAAGCATCAGCTTTAGCGGGACAACTACCACTGGTAGCATCACGCATCTTCACCATCATGTCGTTAATCTGATGCGATAGCAAACCTATTGTGTTGCACATTTGCTCCATAGCAGTAAGCGATGGCATGTTACCCACAGGGCTTCCTTGATTCGGTATGATACCTATATTACCAATGTTCGGAATATTTCTTCTAGTATCCCCAGATACGTTGGAAGCTGAACATCCCGAAGGACATTTGTTGAAGTCTATGCAAGCATCTGAAGAGGACATCATGGGCATTGGCGGTATCACGTTTGGGTTGCAGGGCCGGTTCGAAGGATTGGGCAGCATGGGGCTGCTATGCTGTTTACAGTCATTACCACAAGCTCCCAAGGGACAAGGAGGCCCAAACCCAGACTGAGTCATCTTCTCCGTGCCTGCGTTTCTTGGACACTTCACATTGCCACACTGAGGAGGTTTGTTAGCAGGACATTGCATATTCGTACAGCTGAATGGCTCGTCTGTTCTATACTCCTTGGGCATAGACGTCCCGCAGTCGGGACAGGGACATGTTACTTTTATAATGCCAGCCTTAATGTCCTTTATCCTTCCAGGGGTGTAATTTAAACACGCGTAATGGACCCAACTTTCACAGGCCCCTTGGCATTGCAATCCGTTCTTCTGTGTCACGGGACCTAAGCATATCTTGCACGGGTTTTTCACTTTATTACATTTTGCCATTATGATGGTTGTATTGTGTATATCAGCGGTACGGATGGAACATGATGAGTTATGTCTACGGAACGAGAGATTATTTTGTTGTTTTTGTGAATGTTATGTTTAGGTCGGCATGGTGTCACTCGTTGACATAAAATTGACAGTGATTGACAGCGTATTTACTTTTCTTAGTTCGTAGCTGTAATTGTCTCTGAGAAGTAGGTAAGCGTAGAGATTTTTTTGGGGATAGTTGAATCTGAAAAATAAAAGTACACAATTCCTTTAAAAGGTACGTATGAAGTTTCTTAGATCCAAGATCCGATTTTATTCATCAGCAGACTCACTGATTATTTTCGCCTCATTGAGCCCTGAAGCCCTACTCACCATCAAAAACACAGTAAATTTATGAAAGTCAAATGTTACTGCGATCTTTTGTAAGACGAAGATTACTTCCGCATTGAGCAGGAAACCTTTCTTACTATACACATAAGTTATCATGTAACGATTGTATAAAGCAAATAAGTTTGTCAGATATTTATCTATAATAGTGTGTGTGAAATCTCTTCGTTCGAACAGAAATTATTATGCACAGACTGTTACCTACTATGAAGCAATCTCAATATCACGGCAAATAAGAAGCGAACAGTTCAATATTATATCGACTTCATTCTAGTCTCATTTTGTTCGGCCTTCAGGGGATTTCACGCTCTGAATTGAATTTTGTCTACAACTATCATACTGAATGAGTTTATAACAAAGCGATTGCCTTTAAAACGGTCTACGATTTTTGTATGTAGCTGTCTTCACAATAAATGAAGAGCTCGATTGAGCCGTAGTTGGCCTTAGCACGTTCGGTTTGCGTTTCTGGATATCAAGCAACTTTCGGAATGGCTATCTATCAATTAATTATTTCCCCACTGTTGGGGCACATCACTCTACCACCACCACGTGGGCCCAGTGCGAATTGGTGTGTCCTAATGACAGATGGAGCCGGCACCAAACGGCTTAACGTGCTTAATGAAGAAGCTTGGGGTAGTAAATTTTTGGTCACAGTTGGAATAACCAAAAATTTACTACCCCAAGCTTCTTCATTAAGCACGTTAAGCCGTTTGGTGCCGGCTCCATCTGTCATTAGGACACACCAATTCGCACTGGGCCCACGTGGTGGTGGTAGAGTGATGTGCCCCAACAGTGGGGAAATAATAGGCTGATGATGATGGTATTAAAATAGTGACCCACCCAATGAATAGAGAACTTCCCGCTCGAATTAGAGCGCCGGTAAGTAACACCCACCTTACAACATACAAATCGTTTTATTTGTATAACTTACTTGTCCCTACAAATATGCACAACTTCTTTATTCTTATGCCACATTTTTCAAGGTAGTGCGTATTCTTCCTTCGTGTGTATTCTTATGCTTTTGGTGGTCGGGTGTTTAATACTTATTATAACTTCATATGAAATGTGTCGTGATCATTACTCGTTTCTGATAGCTATTTAGAATATTGATTGATAGTATGTACTACAATTATATTGATAACTATTGAAAATAGTAAAGTAATTGATTAAAAATTAAATCCGATATATTCGATTCGATTAAATTCGAATATTCCTTTAATTAATTGCTGGTTAGCCTAGATAACATTGTAGGATTATATCATAGTAAAAGATTACACAGTATAATGAGACAAGACCACAGTAGTTGAATGAAATCGTGCAATATACCTAATAATTTCGACGGCCTCCGTGGCCGAGTGGTTTGTACGCCGGGTTTATAGTGTCGCCGACTCGAGGGGTCCCGGGTTTAAATCCCGGTGGGGGCAGATGTTTGTGTGATGAATACGAGCATTTGTACCCCAGTCATGGATGTTTAATATGTATTTATATATAAATATACTTATGTATGTACAGTATATGTATTCTATCCGTTACACTAGCATCCCATAACACAAGCCTTATATAGTGCTTACTTCGGGGCTAGGCTAATTGGTGTGATTGGTGGAAATATTTATTTATTTATTTAGATATATAATTAGCTCCGAAATAAACAAGATTAGAGCTGCACTGACTTCAAGGAAACAAAAACTTGCCCTTTGACAAATTTTATATAACACAATCGGATTCCATAATCGTAAAATAGCTATCACGTAGCATACATTTTTTAAAAGACCTTTCAGAATTCACCGTGCACCCTGGGGTACATAAAAAAAGTAAACCCAGTTCAGGTCCAGAAGAGTACCTAATCTTAGAAAAGGTTTCTATCAAGGTTTTATTTTTCCACTTTTTCGGCGTAACTGTAAATTCGTTTAATGCGTTGATTTCTTCCCAAAACTTACGTAAATAATTTTGCAGCCTGAATCACCCGCCGCACAGTGGTCCGGATTTTGAATATAGTGGTCTTAGGACCCAAGGTTAATATTTAGCGCTGAAAAAATTCATGCGGACAGATAAGTGAACGCTTATCAACTTTTGTTCTAGCAGTTTTCATGTGATCGTATATTTTCGCGAAAAAAAAATATTTAAGAAAAGAATGTATGGAGCATAACTGAAATTTTTTTTTCTCGAAATGTTTAAAAGTGTTAACAATGAAACCATTTGTAAATGAAATGAAATGAAATGAAATGAAATGTCATTTATTCAGTCTAGGCTGTTACAAGCACTTGTGAAGGTCAAGAAGCTACGCCATCGGTTCGCAAAACTACGGCGGGAGACCTTGTACTGAGAAGAACCGGCAAGAAACTCAGCAAGGGCTGTTTTTTTCTCCCTGTATTGTTATATACAGTGTCGTCAATTTGAAAAATTACTTCAGAAATACGTCTGAAGTCACTTTCCATTACATCATCTAGAATATAAATAGTTACAATTAATTTTATAGTTAACATTTTAAGTAGTATATAGGAAGCGGCATTAGATAGGTACAATATTACTGTTATGAAAAATGAGTAATACCCATTTAATATCAAATTATAAGAAACACTATGTCCATGCATTACGATCATTTAGATAATCATCAACTTTATAATAGCCCTTATTCATAAGAGTATTTTTGATCTGAGATTTAAATTTAGTCAGTGGAAGCTCAATCAGATCTTGGGGAACTTTGTTAAACAATGCAATACTACAACCCAGAAATGAACCTCTTGATTTTTGGAGTCTGAAACATGGAACGGCAAGCTTGTTCTTAAATCTCGTGTTAAAGTTATGGGTTTGACTTTTTTTTGCAAATTCATCATAGTTTTTTCTTACATATATTAAATTTTCATAAATGTATTGCGACGCCAGTGTTAAAATATTAATTTCTTTAAATTTTTCTCTAAGGGATTCTCTTGCCTTTAAATTGTATATGGCGCGAACAGCTCTCTTTTGCAGTATGAAAATACTTTCGATATTAGCGGCTGAGCCCCACAACAAAAGGCCATATGACATAACACTGTGAAAGTAACCAAAGTAAACTAATCTTGCCGTTTCCACATCAGTTAAGAGTCTTATCTTTTTAACAGCGAAAGCTGCAGAGCTCAATCTACTTGACAAGGCATCAATATGAGGATCCCATTGCAGACGAGAGTCTAAAGTAATACCCAGAAACTTTGTAAAATCCACTAACTCTACAGGCTGGTCATTTATTTTTATACTAGTATTAACCTGCCTCACATTAGGTAGAGTAAACTTAACGCATTTTGTTTTACTGGAGTTAAGTTTTAAATTATTTACCGTAAACCAGTGAAGGACTTCAGAGAGAGCACAATTTACTTCGTCATAACAATCATTTCCTCTTCTAGCTTTAAACAATAAAGAGGTGTCATCAGCAAATAGTACTGTCTCACACAAATCTCTTGTAAAGTGAGGAAGGTCATTGATATAAATAAGGAAAAGCAATGGGCCCAATATTGAACCCTGGGGCACGCCCATAGAAATGGGTGCTCCTGTAGACTCAGCTTCATTTATAACTACTTTTTGAATCCTAGCAGAAAGATAAGACTGTATCAGACTTAGTGAAATATTTGATACACCATAATGCTTCATTTTATTTAACAATGTTTCATGGCTAACGCAGTCAAACGCCCTTGATAAGTCGCAAAAAATGCCAATAGCATCGTGCTTACTCTCCCATATATCAAAGATGTGTTTGAGAAGTGCAGTTCCAGCATCAGTTTACAAATTATTGTATTACATATATTTATTAATTTCACCATCAAATCTTTTGCATGCACTTGCAATTTTTTAATTCTAACTATTTGTGTCATTTATAGGTTTTTAATCATTTATAGTCACATAATTTTCGTATATTTTCAATGTTATAAACTTTAATATGCATTATTTCCTAAATGAAAATGTTTTCGAAAAATAGATACAATTTTTTTTCATATTTTACTTCTTAGTGGTTATCGCTGTTACCCAAAGCGCAGTTTTTTTTTTTTTTTTGTTTCCTCCCAGGCGGGGGAGAGGGTGAGAAATCCTCATGGATACCCTACAGCCGGCTGTAAGGTTATGTCAGACTCTTACTGACTAAAAAACACCCTTTATTCATGCTTATGGCCAGAAGGGCCTTACAAGCTTCATCTGAAGCGATCAACCCCCGAGAGGGGGAAGATGCGGCGCTGCGTTAGTTTAAACTAGTGCATAGTTTAAAATAACGCAAAATGCGCTTAGAGGACAAGTGCACTCAGATGTGCACTTGAAACGGGAGGGGACTGAGAGGAGTCGAACCTCTCTGTGTCGGGGGGGCGGGGGGCTCACCGCGAGTGTTGGATCCTCAGCGGCCAGGAGGGCCGCGAGATCGCGTGTGAGTTTATTGTGTGAGTGCGTGTTTGGGCCTACGGGGCCTGAAGCGAGATGGAGTGTGTGGGGCGTATCCCGACGCCGATCTGATGAGTGGGTTAGAGTGCTCTTCTGCAGCTTTGAAGAACCGTTCCGAGCACTCTGTGAGGTGTGTTTGAATTGTGTCGAGTTGTAGGTCCCTGTGGAGGTCCGCGTTGCGGACGTACCACGGGGCCCCTGTGGCTATGCGGCAGAAGCGATTTTGAAGCACTTGAAGTTTGTTCAAAATCGCTTCGTCCGCCATTGCGAACACTGATGACGCGTAAGTGAGGACCGGGCATATGCAAACTTTGTAAAGCGTTCGCTTGTTACGGAGTGACATTTTGCTGTATTTACCGAGCATCGGGTGGAGGCGGCT